AAATTTCTATAGTTGCCATTATAAAGAGAAAATACTAATCCATACCATGGAAAGTGAAAGGAGAACAGCTACCTAAAAATAAAACCCAGATCTCAGTTATCATGAAAAACTAAGCAAATCTCCATTTCCCTTTAAAACATGGTTTTAGATGCAATCAATTTATTACTTGCTGTGAAAAAGGTTTAAATTTATAAAGTTGCAAGATACTATTATTATTTTATATGCTGTGTAACTAAAACTATGATTATTGAAAGTAAATGGTACATTTATTTCTATTTTATTCTGAAGCCCAAAGAAATAATTTGCTTTATTTATAGGAAGGATTCTATACCAAATCATTTATCATTATAAAGCTTTCAGCACAAAATCCTTTGAAAACTCCTGATCTATGGATCTTCATTGCTTTACTGTTTCATATGGAGGCTTACAAACCTAGAAAGAGTAAACAGGATATCTAAAAGTGCAGATTATCTGTCTTTCTTCCATCTTTTTCATTTTTTAAAGCAGAAAGGCAGGCCGCTGAGAAGGTGGCTTCTTATTTCAACAATATGGATCTTCTGCCTTCTTTCACAACACTGTAGGGCAGGAATTGTACTGTTCTTATCTCAAAGGTCCAGAAGTTAGCGAGGAATTGATTTTAGATGAATCCCATCCACAGAAACTAATTATTTAAGCCTTAAGCAGGGGTTCTGCTATGGCCTTTCTTTGAAGATCTTTGAAAAGATGAAATACAAGTAAATGGATAAATGTAAACAAATATTTCCCTTATTTGTCCAAGCTTCTCTCTCCCCCAACTTTTCCAAAGATAGTGAAAATTATCAACTAAGTTTCTTTTTTGCTTGAAAGACATTCACCACTTTCCATCTAGTGGTGGAGAATGGTTTTGAAATGATCATGTCTCTTATATCAAATGAGAAGGTTTAATATTTATTATGAAGCCTAGAAAATATTTAATAAGTATTATGCTGTACTTAGAGTCTGTAAATGGTTCCAGGACAACAATAATCAGCTTGGAGTACAACTAAAAATAGTTTGGCAATTTGACTGGTTTTCAAAATGTAATGAATTTTTTTTCACAGTAATATGAAATAAAAGGTTCTCTCTTTTTGTCTCTCATGTGAATGGATGCACAATGTTGAAAATGTTTTCCCCTCATACAATTAAACCTGTAAAAAAAATCTACCACACTTTGCTTACAAATTAATAGGGACATCAGGAGTTAGATGAATAATTTTATAAGCCTGGATTTCTATTTATGTCTGATCTAGTGTTTGTTGTGAACAAAAATGACTCATGTAGCTCTACTTTTCAGACCAAGAATACTAAAGACACCAAGTGGATAGAATTGATAGCAATAATAACAACTTCACATGCTATTTCCTAATATTAATGATACTTCATACATGTTATATGAAGAGAATAATTCAGTTTGGGTACAGGCATAACTTAAAGAGGTGTTTTACACACAGGAGCAATTCCTGAAATTTTCAGTTCAAGAGAGAGAAGACCTGTCATTGCTTAAGACCTTAGAAAATGCTACCTCAAAGTAGCCATAGGCAATGAAATAATACTGTCATCAAGAGCTGGTGTTATGTTAAAGGGTAAGGTCAGGATTATTTCTAATTCTCTCATAGATATGAAGCTATCTGGCAAGTTGAAAAATATCCATCTACCAGCTTGCCTGGGACCAGATTGGTAGATTGTGGTCAATAATCCTCAATAAACAGGGGTTCATCTTGCACTAGTTTGTTTCAAATGGATCATTATCATGATCTTTGGATACATATTTTGAAAAAGAAAGTTCTTTTTTTTAATTACACAGTCTATACAGACTTTGATTTATATTAAACTGAAAAACTATTCTCTAAAACCTTGGATATACTAAGATTGTCCATAGTGATGTTTTATCGTGAGTGAAACATTTCTCAAGCAGTTAAAGCAGCTACATCCAGTGGGACACACATACAGTTGCTTCGAAGAGTGCCCAGTGTACATTGTCTCTACATGCATGAACATTTCACTGGTAATTCTACAGGAAACACATTTCATGTTTACAGCCAGGATCAGCATATGCTGGTAAATGTTTCAAATGATGTAGCTGCTTTAAAACTGTGGGGAATGAGTTTGTATGAGATCAAAGCAGGTTGGATCTGCTTTGAAAAAGACCAACTTTGAACAGCCTGATAAATATCAGTTCCAAAGGACATCCCAATTCCAGGTGTACTTCCAGGTAACTTGATTTAAAGTACAGGTATACCTATGTTATAACAGAGACAGTATCTGAAGCTCAGGAAAGAATAGTTTTTCAGAGATATGAGGTTCATTTCATAAACTGTTTCTTCA